GAATAAATGTTAAAAAAAAAATAAAATACTGAATCAACATTAACATTTATTGCTACTGAAATTAACATTTCAGTATCTATTTTTAGTACCTCAGTATTACCTTTAGTCATCAAATCAATTAACATGGAGTATTATGTAGATTCCCAGGCATCAGCAATGTCAGTGGCTAGAATACAGCTAGAAAACTGCACAGTACTGGGGTGTTGATATATGTGTGTTGCACTCACTTCTAATTCAGTACTTTACCGGATGAGAATGGTTACTACCATCACCTGCAAATAAAAATGAAGTCAACAGTGAAATAGATTGTGACCAGGACACAGGGCCACCTAGAACCAGTACAATGTCCAGTTCATATGAGGTTATTGGTTTTCTAAATTACAGAAGAACGGTAGAACTGAATGTAGCTAAAAGGCCCTTGTGGATGTATTTGGGGTCATGTGACCAGAGCAGGGCAAGAGGTCACAAGCAGAGGCTGAGCGTGAAGCTCCTTGTGCATTTCTTTTTTTTTTTTTAATATTTTTATTTATTTCTAGGAGAGAGAGAGAGACAGCGTGAGCAGGGGAGGGTCAGAGAGAGAGGGAGTCACAGACTCTGAAACAGGCTCCAGGCTCTGAGCTGGCAGTCAGCACAGAGCCCGACGCGGGGCTCGAACCCACGAACCGCGAGATCATGACCTGAGCGAAAGTCGGACGCTTAACCGACTAAGCCACCCAGGCGCCCCTCCTTGTGCATTTCAAAAATTCCTGCATCAGTTACTATGCCTCCTTTTGTGTAAGTTATCTTGCCGACCTATGCACGCATTCTATTTAGTTATTTGAAAACACATATAAAATCTAAACTAGTTTTTAAAAATTACCTTCCCTCCAAAGTGCATAATTTCACAAGTCCTATTCCACAAAAAAGCCAACTGTAGAGGAGCCCTCTGTCCTTTTTAAGGCCAAAGACACTTTCCTTGTAATGAGAAGACCTTAAATTAAGGTTTCCAGCATTCCTGGGGATACAGTCTATGTGATCATATTAACGTGTGGTGTTGAGAGTGTGGGCTCTTCTGCTTATTCTCCACTGTTTTTCTCAGTATGAGTATTTCATAGACAGCAGAGGGGTCTCCATGCCTTCAGTCTTCCAATTCTGACAGCTGCTTGGTAGGGGGCTGGGGAAGCAAAAGGAGTCAACTTATCTGTAAACCCTGGAAAAACTGTTTTGTATGGATTTTACAACTCAACTAACAATATTATCTTGAGATATTTCTATGTATCTATACAGAAAAGTTGTCTTAAGAAAAATTACTGAACCATTAAAAATCTACCACTCACTGCTACTAGTTATTCAATATTCTCTAGCTTACTTCTAGGTAAATGGTAACTTATTTAACATTATATTAGACTTTCCACATCATGGATTGTAAGCTGGAGGAAACCAATTTCTGAAAAAATATATTCATTCACGACAACTAATTCTGCACTTGTACTTGAATGTAGAACCACACAATCTTAGTTTGTTCTTAGTAAATGTCTCTATGGTTGCTGAAGATTTGTTTATGATTTGAATCTTAATAACATTTTAAATTTTTACTGGAAAAGCTTTCCTTCTGAAAAGGACTCCATATATTTTTTCCCTTAAAAATAAACAAACAGCTCATGAGTTTGCATGGGACACAGAAGTGGTCAGAGGAGCTACCTTTGTCAAAGGCTATGAAAAGCTCATCTGAGCTACTCCTTAGCACCTTATAAATGTTTCCCCTCAAAATGTGTCGACAGATCATGTGCATGAATGACTGGTATTAGTGTTTTTTCTCAATATGACAATATAGTGGACAGATACAACACATTTTTTAGTTTGATTTTAATCTATTTTATAAGGTCTTTCTATTTTATTAGGATGCACTATACATCTGGATACACAAAGACCTAGGTACACGTATGGAGAGAGTAGATATAGTACTAGACACAAAGACAGTATTGCATCATGAAGTGACAGGTCACCTTGAGTAAGTTAAGTTGACCTGGAGTAGGGTGACAAACTTGTCCCTAGTTGCCTGGATGTTCCCAGTTTGGGCCCTGTAAACTCCAGAGAAATACAAGTCCACTGGGACAGCTGGTCATTCTACCTCTAACCCCATTTCTCCACCTATGAAATAAGAGACATCGTATCTTGTCCATCAAGAGCACCAAGCTCTCCTACCTTGGGCAACATAAGGACCTGTCTTATGCATCAGATCCCATATATGTAAAATGGAACACTATCACCTCTCTATAACTAAATGTTAAAGTGCAGATAGCCCTTTAGGAAACAACACAGTAAGCACTCAGCATGATGTGACGTTATCATTAATACTACTGTTAAAGTATCCAGCCCATTTCCTACCAATGGTAAACAGCTGATAAATGTCTAGGAACACTGCTTAAAAACTGAAGTGAAAACTAGGTTAGAGTTTGGGGCCGAGTTTTTCTTCTTTTCTTAGGGTTATTTGTTGCTTTGTTTAGTGAGCTCTTAGGAAATCTAGAACTGGGGGTGCCTGGGTGCCTCAGTCAGTTAAGTGTTCAACTTTGGCTCAGGTCATGATCTTGCGGTTCCTGAGTTCAAGTCCTGCTCCGTCCCTCTCTCTCCTCTCTCTGCCTCCTCCCCCCAACCCCCATGCCCCAGTTTGTGCTCACACTCTCTCTCTCAGATAAATAAACTTTAAAAAAAACCTTTTTTTAAAGAAATCTAGAACCGCACGGCACTCCTCAGATTAAAGGGGCAGCTGGATGAGGCTGGGAGAGGAGGCAGGCGGCCGCCCTCCCACACGCACCCGGGAACCTGACGGCAGGAGCTTGGCTGCGCCGGGCTGCCTCAGGGAACACACTCGCACTGGAGGCCTCACCAGGGCCATGGCCTTTGAAGGTGAGGGGAGATCGGTAAAGGATCGACTACTGCACAGCACAGAATTTCCAGAGCTCTTACTTCAAAACTTATGAAGAATGAGAACATCATGTGCTTCATGAGGTAGATGAAACTAAACTGAGTTTGAGAAGAGGGATAACGTGCACCAAGGAAGCCAGGTGACCGAAGGCCTTTTATGAGCAAAAACCCATTCCTGATAACCACGTGGGTCATTCTGAAAGAGCTCCAGAAAAACATCTATGCCCAGAGATCCGAGTCCAGCGTGGGGATACAGCAGCTGTGCAGGATCTCTGTTTTCATACCTATCTGTGGTGTGTGGATGAAGGTCTTCTGGCTCCTGATTGGCTTGTCACTGATTGTAGGTTGGTCTCACTGATGGAGGTGAAGGGTGGAAGTGTCCGCACGCAGGTGGGCTAACTGAAAGAGCCCCCTGATGCCATGCGCACCATGCAGGTCTCCATGCTCCTGGGCCAGCTCATCTTGGACTCTGGCACCAAGGCTGCCATTGCATCCAGCACTGTCCTTGAACATGGCCATCTTGGCCTCTGTCTGGCCTGTCTGCCCCATCCCTGCAAACCTCCATCGTGATGTCTGCCATCCAGATTCTTGCCCTGTGGCCCATGTTACAGAAGGCAGCAAAAGGCATATCTTTCCAGCAACCATGTGGGAGTCACACTGCTGTTTGCACTTGCAGCCTTGGGAGGGCTGCTGTCTATTAGTGCTGTGGGAGCTGTCCTGCGGCCTTCTGCTGGCTTCCACCTCGGGCCTCTGCCCTGTATCATTCACCTGCAGATTTTTTTTTTTAATATTTTTATTTCTAGGAGACAGAGAGAGAGAGAGAGAGAGAGACAGCGTGAGCAGGGGAGGGTCAGAGAGAGAGGGAGACACAGACTCTGAAATAGGCTCCAGGCTCTGAGCTGGCAGTCAGCACAGAGCCCGACGCGGGGCTCGAACCCACCAACCGCGAGATCATGACCTAAGCGAAAGTCGGACGCTTAACCGACTAAGCCACCCAGGCGCCCCCACCTGCAGATTTTTAAAGAAAATATCCACAGAGGTGCCTAGGTGGCTCAGTCGGTTAAGCATCTCACTCTTGATTTTGGCTCAGGTCATGATCTCAGTCTGTGAGATTGAGCCCCACGTTGGGCTCTGAGCTGATAGCACAGAGCTTGCTTGGGATTCTCTCTCCCATTCTCTCTGCCCCTCCCCTGCTCATTCTCTCTCTCTCATTCTCTCACTCTCTGGCTCTCTCTCAAAATAAATAACTTTAAACAAACAAACAAAAAAGAAAACATTCATGACCCTTGATGTGAGGCTGAGATCCAAGGGGACTTGTCCAGATCCCTCAGCCACACTAGAAACCTCCATTTCGTTATCAACCAAGCTGACAGACTGGCTTCCCAACCAGTCTAAGACGGGCAGGTAACCTCCCATTCTGGAAGCAGCATGCTGATGACAGTGGGAGACCGAGATCATTCATATGAAGACTTAGCAGCAAAGGCTGACTGACAGCTACAACACAATTAGAAGTCAGAATTCCTGTCACAGTGGTTCTCGTCAGCGTGGATTCAATGACATTTTTGGTTGTTATGAAGGAGAGAAGGCAGGGGTTGCGGGAATGGCAGTGCCATGACTTGAAGCAGCTGAGGTTATGGCTGCCAGCCCAACACTGTACGGGACAGGGCAGTCACCCCCAACAAAGAATTATTGCCCAAAATGCCAAGAGAAACCCTGACTTGTATCCCTAAACAAAGTTGGGCTAGCCGCTCTCCTCACCCCGACACATAGCAAACTGCTGCTGTCGACACCTCCAGACCTGGCCTCCACCACACTGACAGTCACCAACGTGGCCTCAGTACAAGCCTGCCACCCAATATCCGCTTTGACAGTGGAGGCCAACATTACAGACGTGTCAAGAAGATCTCACCACATCAACTGTGGGGACACTGGTAACTAGCTCTTTTGGGTTATCCTGACCTACTTTCACAGTGACAAGTAGTGTTTTTTAGCAAATAAATGTGGTATCTATTTCTACATTTAGATGATTACTGAGTCACAGTGACATAACTGTTGACATAACTGTTGAAAGAATTAAACAGCTCTGTTTGCAGTGGTATAACAAATTTTAATTCAAAATAGACACTCTGAAACAATAGGTTAAAAAAAAAATAAACTTCAACAAGCTCTTTTTGGATTTACAACAGAGTATACCAACAATCACAGACCAGTTTCACAATTGCCTCAAAAATGCACATTATAGCAATTACATGCAAGTATTCTGTTTTTTAAAATCCATAGAGTAACTTTATCTTCTTTCCCAGAGACTGTCATGGCCTCTGAGTGCGCTGGACAGGTGCCTCTGCTGTGTATCGCCAGGAATACGACTTAAGGTCAAAACTGGCCGGTCTCCATTGCTGATTCTGGTGCTTTTAGTTATTCTGTGTGCAGAAAAAAACCCTGGAGGTTCAACTGTCCAAAGGACAGTAATACAGTGGAGTTCTTCAGCAATACCCCATCCCATTAACCCAGACAACTGGGCTACAGAAAGCCCATTTCCCCAGAACAAATATGTTCACTTCTAGGAAACCATCAGAGACGTAATGTACCAACATGGAGACAGCTCTTGCTCTACTCATTTTGCTTTGTCCCCTAAAAACCTATGCCTACATTCCAGTTAGTATCCACACTCAGGGGTAAAAATGTTATTCCTGAGTAACATGGTCCTTCCCTTTCACTGATTCATGAACAGTCAGGTGAGGAAGCAAATTCGTGTGTGTGTTCAGCATTTATTCTAAAGGCACTAAAAATTTATTGTCTTACTTTTGAATGGGGAAATGACTTACCACCATATCAAAAAGGGAAGAAGTCTACACTGAAAAGGGTTTCTGCACCTACAAAATTGCTTTATTTGAAAATAACTCTTAACGAGCTAAATAGCAGGCTTCAGCTTCAGTATATTTTTAACAAAGGAAAACATTTGGTTTTCTATGAGTTGTAATAAAAGACAGCTGCTAGGACAAACTTGAAGAAATGTAAGTCAAAATCATAACCTAGTAAGCAAGTACCTTGCAACGAAGAAGAAACAGCGGAAGTTAATGCAGTGCATCCTTAGGGAACTGTACACGCAGGGTGTGTGCTCACCTCTGTCAGCACTGATGCTTGTCATTTGCTGCTACACAAGAAGCTAATTGAGGGAGGTCAATGCAGTTAATCAGGCATTCTGAAACAAGCTGAAATTTCCTTAAATGAAAACACATATAGATTTCAGTTTTCATCCTACAATACTGACACTACTGGGAAACAAGACGTGCATGAAAGATCCAAGGATTTAATTTACATGACAGGGAAAAACTAAAAATAATTGTTACAAAATCAAACTGCAGGAAACAATAAATCTGAAACAACTATTCACTTCTTTTATATAGAAGTCTTTCTGAGCACCTGAAATAAATCTAAAGAGCAGCATAAAGACCACTGAAATTGATTAGTTCAACATACAGTGAAGAAAATAACATTTTTTTAAAATCTCAATTGAAAAAACTAATTATCTAGTACTTTAGATTTCCTAACTTTTTTTTTTTTTACAAGTTTTGTGGCTCATACTCAAAGTTCAACCTGTGTTTAACATTTTTAAGTTCAGACATGTCAAAGCCTAAAAGTACAGAAGGCTTGTGATTTTTTATTGCTTTCATGCAAATATATCTTCTTTTTCCAAAAAATGAAGCCACATCAATTTTCCATACCCACAAGAGCGAGGAAAGAAGTTCTATTTCCTTTTTACTAGGATATGGTCTCTTGTGGAAATAATCTCTAAGAAATTGCTTTTTTTCTTCATACGAACGGTCTTCGTATTTTTTGGGTTTTAATGCTAAAATTTGAAGAGCGTCTTCACTACCCAGTGGCCCCTCGGTCCTGACTTCATTCCTCTGTCTCTTAAAAGGCACTGCACTTGTCACCTTCTCAGGAGCCGGGGCTCCGTCGGTATTTATGACTAGGGGCCGCTCCTCCACGTCCCTCTGGTCTTCTGTCCCCAAGTGGCCATCAGGCAGCTTCCTCTTGACAGGAAAACTGGAGTCATGGACCACCTCCCCGTTCACAAAGAGCAGCTCGCTGTTCTCGATCAGACGAGGCTGTGTCTGGAGGTCTGAGCTGCTGTCCTTTGGGGCGCTCCTGCAGCGCAGCAGGTGGATGGCAATGGCTGCCAGGGTCATGTTGCCCGTGTAGACCCCACAGCAGTGGATGCACTTGAAGGCCGGAGACTTCAGAATTGTATGGACTGTTGGTGTGATGTGGTGCCTCTCTTTCAAATGCAGCTCGTATGCCTCAGTCGTCACGAAGGTGCCAAAGCAAAAGGGGCAAGTGAGTGCTTGTTTGCTGGGGCTCCCAGAGGTGCCCTCTGTCTGGGGCCTCACCTTTATGTACACGGGCACCAATGACTTGGAGTGTATCCCCGCCAGTATCGCCAAGTAGACTTCCCGCTCCCCCAGCTCCTCCTTTGGCAATATGGTAATGAAGTCAAGGTGGGGAAAGAGCAGGTTGCCATTAGCATCGATATCCAACTGAAAACCTTTGTTACTATAATCCACAGGCAATTTCTTCTTCCCTCGGTGCATAGTCCTACTGTGCTCCGAAAGGCCTTTAATGTCGTGGAAAGTGCACGGACAGAACAGGCACCCCAGGCCGTGCATCAGCAAGTGATGGATAAGCTCCTCCTCCGACACTAAGCACTTACAAGAGAGACAGCGAACCGTTTTCTCTCTCATCCACTTTAAAAACGGTGCACATGCTGCCAGCTTTTCAGGCTCCAGTTTTTCAGCAGATTTGGATTCACTATGCTTATGAGCCACCTCCATGTGAACCTGGTAGACTTTGGAAGGGAAGAGCTCGTTGCAAACTGGACAGGTTTTCCACTGCTTCGCCTGTTTGAGCGCCTGGCCGGCCTCTGCCACAGATGGAGAGGCCTGAACAAACACATTCTGCGTGGCGTTTACCACCACTGGAGGAGAGGGCATGCTGGCCATGGAGCTGGCCATCTGCGCGGCCGTGCCCGACTGCAGGAGCTGGATGGGCACCTGGGGCGGGGGGACAGTGGCGACGCCGCCTGGAGGCACAGGCAAAGTGACAGACACGGGCGCAAGCGTGTACGTGGGGATCCCATTCACCTGCTTCCCTGTAGGGATCAGCTGTCTGAGAATAGAGCCTGACGTGAGGAAGGTGGTGTTCTGAGCAGCGCCAGGTCTAAGTGGCTGACTTGCAGGCAGGGCGCTGGTGCTCACAGACTGGCTAAGCTGCAGGACTCCGGGCCTCACGGGCTGGCCCACGGGGAGCACTCCCGACACGACGGGCTGACTGAGCTGCAGAACGCCGGAACTCATAGCCTGGTTCACAGGGAGAACGCTCGATGAGACCGGCTGGTTGGGAGAAAGGAGCCCCGGGGGCACCACCTGGCCCGCAGGCAGAACCCGCAGCGGGACCGTCTGGCCCGCAGGCAGAACCCGCGACGGGGCCGTCAGCCCAGCGGGGAGAACCCCGGACGGGGCCGTCTGGCCAATAGGGAGAACCCCTGACTGGACCATCTGGCCCGCAGGAAGCACCCCAGAAGTTGCTGTCTGTCCCGAAGGGATGACCCCAGCAGGGGTCATCTGGCCTGCAGGCAGGACTCCTGGTGGGACTGTCCGACTCACAGAAATCACCCCCGGCGAGACGGCCTGGAGAACCCCGGGAGTGACAGACGGACTGACTCCTGGAGGAAGGACTCCAGGCCCAGCGGGTCTGTTTATGGGCCCGACCGGCTGGCTGAGGGGTACAGCCCCTGGACGGATGGTCTGGTTTATGGGGAGGACACCAGCTGCAATAGACTTATTTACGGGTCCGACTGGCTGACTCAAGGGCAACACAGGATTTGCTGACTGACTGAGCGGGACTCCATGGGAAAGAAAGACAGGCTGGGGAGCCGAGGGTGGCAGAGGGAGGTTGCTCTGGCCCACAGGCAGAGGACTGGGGACCAGGGTCACGTGGGACTGGGCAACGGCAGGCGGAGAATGGGTGAGGCTTCCAGAAGTGCCCGAGGCCACGGTCACTGGCTGGGCTGCGCCCTGCACTGGCTGCACGATGGTCTGGCTCTGGCTGCTCTGCGGCAAGGCAAGACGAAAGCAGGGGGGTGTGGCTGCGATGCCCGGAGCACCGCTGTTCGGGGGCATGGCCAAGGGTGCCACTGGCTTCGGAGCGATGTGCATCTGCTTCAGAAGTCCGGGCTTCTTAATATGTTCTGAGATCACGGATCTAAGCTTATTTTCCAAATCCCTGTGTATATCCGACGTCAAAATATGATACATTAAAGCATCCTGGCTGCTGGCGTTGGCGCTGCACTTTTTACAATAGTACTTGTCAGATGGTGGCATCTTCTCAGTAGAAAGGATGTCGTCGGCTTTCGGCTGCTCACCTGTTTCCTCAGTTCGCAGGCCAAAGTAGGAGTTAATTAAGTAGTGAAAATGGGCTACCAGCACATGCTTCTTCATACTGTAGTACAATGTGTTTGAAAAGTTACATTTTAAACATGTAAAACTTATCACATCGCTCCTAGAAGACTTAGTTTCACCTAAAATATTCACTGTGTAGTTCTGGATTTTCCGGACAGGTGCATGAAACATTCTGAAGTGCCTTCCCACAACTTTGGGTTGAGAGGAAAATACACAGTTTGGGCAAGGGATCACCAGCTCTTGATCAATTTCATCTTCATGGTAGCGATGTAAATGATTTTTGAATGAAGTAAGCACTTTTGTAGAGTATTTACAGAGGCTACAACAGTACGGCTTTGTTCGATATCTCTGTTAAAAAAAAAAAGTCAAGCATATTTTAATAAAAATACCAGGTGCTACACCTTCTACAGTTCACAAGTATATGATTCTTTTTCTTTTAATGTGCTGGAAAATGTAACACTGTCACCTCCCAGGGAATGTGTTTTTTCTAAACCAGAACAAGCTGTTTCTTAAAGGGCCAGAGAGTAAATACTGCCTCTATGCCAACTACTTGGCGCTGCCACTGTCACACAAAGTGCCGCAGAGAATATGTAAGTCAATGAGCATGGCTTTGTGCCTATAAAACTACAGACACTAGTTCAAATTTCATAGACTTTTCATGTCACACAACAGTACTCATTTCCTTTTCCTCAACCATCTAAAAAAGTAGCAGCGATTCCCAGCTGCAGACGGTGCCCGCAGGCCCTGGCGCACACAGCACGTCGCTCACTGACCCCTTCCAGGCCATCAACTAAAACTCAACCTCCTTACTCCAGCAGAAGAAACTCACTCAGTTCTCTGCGAGAGAAGTTGGTTTCTCCCTTTCCCCTCCATTTCCCATAGCTCCAACGTTGTTTGTACTTCAAATTCTAAAACCTCTAGAATTTACCTGCAAACAATCTAACATGAAAATTGTAGGGGCGCCTGGGTGGCTTAGTCGGTTAAGCGTCCGACTTTCGCTTAGGTCATGATCTCACGGTTCGTGGGTTCGAGCCCCGCGTCAGGCTCTGTGCTGACTGCCAGCTCAGAGCCTGGAGCCTGTTTCAGTCTGTGACTCCCTCTCTCTCTGAACCTCCCCTGCTCACGCTGTCTCTCTCTCTCTCTCCTAGAAATAAATAAAAAAACATTTAAAAAAAAAAAAAAGAAAATTGTTACACCATCATTACTATCTGTTCTTTCCCTCTCTCCTAGAGAAGGTAGGAGCCAAATGAACGGTGCTTACAACACGCAAGTGTCCAACACACTATGTGACAAGTTGTAAGGAAAGAGGCTATTCCTTCAGTGCTATGATAATCCTGAACGAGTTCCAGGCCAGAACTCAGACCAACCACGCAGAACTTCTCTTTGGGGCAAACACAGGTGAACCCAATAGGCCTGAGGCGTAAGAACAGGCATGTGTAAGAGAGCTGGCCACCTGAGCGATGCATCCAAAAATTTGCTGGCTTGTGGAGGTTTGACACCCATGAAGTCTTTGGTCTCGTGAGTCTGCAGACCCTGGAGGTGCTGAACCACGGAACACCTGGCCCTAGTGTCCCCAAGGAGGAAGGTAAGGCCTGGACCTTCACGCGAGGTCCAGCGTTGGCTGTGGGTGACATCTCTCTGCAACACTGCTTCTTGCCACCGCGGTAGGTCACCCCACCCTTCCTAAGCCTGAGTTCTCAATGGCCCCTGCACACACACTCTGTAGCTTCTGTCACCCTCTCTCTCCTATTCATACAGGTTTCCCTCTTCTCACAAGTCAGAGAAATCACCCAAACATGTTCAACAACATGGAACTGCCTTCTCAGCAGTTAGCAAAATCCCAGGTTCTGCCATTTCTGAGAGCCTGCAGAAGAAACCTAAGGTGACGGCCAACCCCAGACCAAAAACTAAAAAACAACCCATATTTCACTATCTCAGAAATCTGGATACACCTTACAACTAACAGTTCAACAGTACAGCACAGTTTAAGTATCGCTTTAGGTTTTTTTTTAGCGGTTCATTAAAAAATCGTGTGTCTTAGAACATAGTCAATAATTTTGTAATAACGCATGTTAACAGTGACTACACTTTTCGTGGTGAGCACTGAGAAATGTATAGACATGTTGAATCACTGTTGTACATCTGAAACTAATATAACATTCTATGTCAACTATACTTGACTGATACAATTTTTTTAGATTTTTTTTATTTTTATATTTTATTTTTTTATTTTTGAGAGAGAACACGCATACGTGCAAGCAGGGGCTGGGCAGAGAGAGAGAGACACACACAGAGAGAGAGAGAGAGAGAGAGAGAGAGAGAGAGAGAATCTCAAGCAGGATCCACGCTGTTTGAAGCCTGACACAAGGCTCAATCCCACCACCTGGGGATCATGACCTGAGCCAAAATCAAGAGTTGGACACTCCACTGACAGCCACCCAGGTGCCCCTAGAATTTTTTATTTTTAAGTAATCTCCACACCCAATGTGAGGCTCAAACTTAAAACCCTGAGATCAAGAGTCGCTTGGTCTCATGGGGCATCCAGGAGACCTAATAATACATTTTTTTAAATGGTGTGTTTTATACTTGATGAAGTAGTGTAGTAAAAAAAAAACAACTAGTTAATGAAAATTACACTCAATGAAAGAGCCAACAGAAATTACTAACAATTGCATATTACTTACTATCTGTTAGTGTTGAATGAGTAGGGAAAAGATTTCATAAAATGATTCCATTTTAAAATTTTAAAAAGACTCATCGTTGGAATGAGTAGGGAAAGATTTCTTAAATATGAAAACATAATCCATAAAAAAACTGGACTTCATTAAAGTAAGAAAGCTTTTACTCTACGAAAGACACTGTTCGGGCGCCTGGGGGCTCAGTTGGTTAAGCGTCCCACTTTGGCTCAGGTCATGACCTCATGGTTCATGAGTTCACGCCCCACGTCGGGCTCTGTGCTGACAGCTCAAAGCCTGAAGCCTGCTTCAGTTCTGTGTCTCCCTCTCTCTCTGCCCATCCCCCTGCCAAAAGTGAATAAACATTAAAAAAAAAAAAAAAAGAAAGACACTTCAAAAAATAGAAAGACAAGCCATGGGCTAGGAGACCATACTTGCAAACCTCATACCTAATAAAGGACTTGTATCCAGAATACATGTTGTAGACATGTTCAAGTCCCAATAAGAAAAATAACCCAATTTTTAGAAAATGGGCAAAAGACTTTAACATTACCAAAGAAGGCATCCAGGTGCCAAATATACACATGAAAAGATGCTCAACATCTTTAGTCACCAGGTAAATGCAAACTAAAACCACAAACAGTACCACCACACCCCAGTAAAATGGAAAATAAGTAGAGAGACCCATAAGCACCATATATGAGACAGAATCGAGTCTAGCTTGCATGCAGAGTAACTAGATCTGCCTCCCCACCACCGCTGCATCACAGGGGAAAAGCAAAATGGTATAGCCACTTTGGAAAACAGTGTGGCAGTTTGTTATAAAGATAAATATGTACTTAATGACCACACACAATCCAGCAATCTCAAGCCTAGGCACGTCTCCAAGGGAAATGAAAGCCTACGTTCCCATAAAAGCCCCCAGCAAAAGCTCTAGGGTGAGTGATCCCTCGGGAACACAGTGAGTGGAGACCTGGGCCCGACTGGCAACAGAGGAAGAGCAACGACCAAGGACAGACGCAGAGGGCTGCAGCGAGGCGTCCTGGGTCTGGCAGAGACTCCAGCCCTGGACAGTGCACCGTCTCCCTGACAGGCTGCTTCCTCAGGTCCCAGACTAACTGAGCTCCGTCACCTGAAGAACCTTAGCACATCTCTGTCCCCAAAACCCAAATGTCTAACAAATCTTTTTTCTTTTTTTTTTTTTCTTTTTAATATTTTTTATTTATTTCTAGGAGAGAGAGAGAGAGCGTGAGCAGGGGACGGTCAGAGAGAGAGGGAGACACAGAGCCCGAAACAGGCTCCAGGCTCTGAGCTGGCAGTCAGCACAGAGCCCGACGCGGGGCTCGAAAACACGAACCGCGAGATCATGACCCAAGCGAAAGTCGGAAGCTTAACCGACTAAGCCACCCAGGCGCCCCTAACAAATCTTTTTTCTGAGCCGCTCAAGACCAAGGCACACAGTCCACGTGACTGCACATTTCTGCCACCTTAGGGACAACCAGGAGTAAGTGCTGAGCCAGCAGACAGCACGGTCTCTACCACACCAGGCAGCAGCGGTTTTTCTCAATATGTTGTCTAGCCAACAAATCCAATTCTACTATTTAACACTTTGTGCCTAGACCCTGTTCACCCCAACAGAAACAAACTCCTTGAGGAAAACTCTAATTTGTATCTCTGTGTATTAGGCACTCCAAAAGTTTTACCTACTTTGTAGCAGGTTTTTAAAAAGTGTTTCTTGATGAAAAGCATGTAATTATATATTACACTGCAGGTTACGTTACAGGATCTTCTGAGAATTCAGAAGACAAAAATCAGTGAGATGTAAGAAAAGATTTATGAAGTCAAGGGGTTCGAAGCAAGGCGTATCGGAACAGCCATGTGCTATTCCAAGGAGGACAATAACCAAATCGAAGCAGTTTCCAGGCATCTTGTGTCTGATGTAGAGGGGGGAGTGTCTGCTCAAGGAAGACAGGAGACCAACAGGTGTGACACAAGACAGAGGCAGAAGAGTCGAACTCAGGTGAACAGCTGACAACAGTAATGTCGATAAAGAAAACTGTGACAGAACAATGATCAATCAGTAATAGGAAAAATTTATTTAAAGTCAAAAGTCTCAGGGCGACTGGGTAGCTCAGTTGGTTAAGTGTCCGACTTTGGCTCAGGTCATGATCTCGCAGTTTGTGTGTTCAAGCCCTGCATTGGGCTCTGTGCTGACAGCCAGACCCTGGAGGCTGCTTTGGAGTCTGTGTCTCCCGCTTTCACTGCCCCTTCCCTGTTTGTGCTCGGTCTCTCTCTCAAAAAGAAACATTAAAAAAATTATTAAAAAGAAAAAAAAAACCCAAAAGTCCAAGGCCAATATGACTTGGACAAACGTGGAAAGGGAAATGGAGACTGGGACAGTTAAGTCAAATCTGGGTCGTGCTGACCTTGATACTGATGAAGGTGCTAATGTTACGGATGGCTGGGTAGTAGGAAAGGTTTTCCAGAAGCAAATACTTTAATAAGGAGAATGTAGCTTGAGTCTGCTTGGGTTTGAGGTCTCAAATTATTATAAATCGTGTTCCTCAACTAAAAGATACATATTTTAAAATTTTAAGCTTTAAATTTTAAATTTCTGAAACCAGGTGTACCTTCATCATGCATAATGTCATGACACTTACTTTTACTCAAAGTAGTTAGAATTCCAAGGCCCTTCTTACATGAGTGTCATCTTATGATCAAGGACAAATAATAGTTTCACTACATTACTTTATCAACTTTAGATACAGAAACTTCTCAAGGCATCAATGATTCTACGTTCTAAGGCATTTCACCTTTTCTTTCTCTTTCCCTGAATGCTTACATTATACCTCTCCCCCTCACTAACGAGCAATCCCAACACATGTGATGTTCCTCAAAACTAAACTGACACTTACCCCAACTTCTGAGGAAACATAAAAATCAAATAAAAAATACATACCACTTTCTTTCCAGAAGGTTCCCAGAGAGAAATATCTCCCCATGATGTGTTAACAAAGTACTTCTCTCCTGGATCAAAGCCTTTAAGGTCCTTTTAAAAAGGGAGAAAAAGAGAGATCATTAAGCAATTTCAGAAGATAAATAACCTGAAGGGATTACTTAGCACCTAAGAAATCCACATGGGAAAGTGAAATGAAAATGGAGCCCAGGAGCAAACTGCAGCCATAAAGCACAAGAACAGAGGAAAAGGCTGAAATAACCCAATTAAATATTAAAGTTTTAAAGGTCTTTTGAAAAATTTTTTTGATATTTATTAATTTTGAGAGAGACAGAAAGCAAACGGAGAAGGGGCAGAGAGGTAGGAGACAAAGAATCTGAAGCAGCTCCAGGTGCCGAGCTGTCAGCACAGAGCCTGACACGGGGCTCGAACTCATGAACTGCAAGATCATGACCTGAACCCAAGTCGGATGCTTAACTGACTGAGCCACCCAGATGCCCCTAAAAATTTAAGTTTTAAATTCTAGTTAAAAACTATATTTTATTAAGAATTAAACATGAGATTTCCCACGAATATTTTTTTAAAGTTTATTTTGAGACAGAGAGCGCAAGGTGGGGCTGGGGCAAAGAGAGAAGGGACCGAGGATCCGAAGAAGACTCTGTGAGTGGGGCTTGAACCCACGAACCCTGAGATCATGACCTGAGCCGAAGTCGGACGCTTCACCGGCTGAGCCACCCAGGTGCCTGCGCCCCCACCCTCAACCAATAGTTTTTTTAAAAAGAGAAGCTCCATGAGCAAACACGGTCTTCTGTCAGTGGTAAGCACTTGGGAGGTTCTTGGGAGAGTATCAAGTGGGAGCTCCAAGTGTGTGCCTGACCAAGGACACCAGAGTCAGCCATGGAGAGGACAGCATGGACTAGGGTGTGACCAGCACAACAGAAGGGGGTGAGGAGACAGTGAGAGCTTGGCAACCAGATGCAATGGGGTTCACATCAACCCCGTGTCAAACAAACCAAGTGCAAAACGTATCTGGAGAAAAACTGGAGAAATCGGAATATGGACTGGGTATTAGATAAGAAAGGCAAACATTTAATAACACAGAAAGATGCAGGTAACTGAAAAAGTAATAAAAAAGCACAATCAAGAAGAGCTCACAGTAGTAAAGACTATTCACATGTGTATGTGTTTACACTTGTACGTACAAAGAAAGAGAAGGCTAAACAATATGATGTCATTAGTGGTAATCCCTGAATGGCAGAAATGTGGCATTTTTAATTTTATTTTCTAAAGAAATGATTACCTCTATTTTCTAACTTTCCTAGTTTATATTGCTGTTTTTATAATAAGTAAATATTATTTTAATATAAAAAAGATTTGTTAAGCCAGATGATAATATAATAACTGTCTTCAAGTATACATATGCCAATACACTGCTTACCAAGTCAATTCAGAACTGGAGAAAAGTGCAAATTATTACAAAGATTTAAATTGGAAATAATGTGTTCTGAGGTTTATAACATACATACAAGTAAAACGACAATAACACAAAGGCTAGAACAGGAAATGAAAGCATAGTATTGGGGTTTTTTTCTTTTAATTTTTAGTTATTAAGTAATCTCTACACCCCATGTGGGACTAGAACTCATAATCCTGAAATCAAGAGTTGCATAGTCTACCAATTGAGCCGGCCAGACACCCACTGTAAGGTTCTTATATGTGGAGCAGTATTATATTAGAAAGGTAAACAGAGGCACTTGGGTGGCTCAGTTGGTCAAGCCCCACATAAGGCTCCGTGCTAACAGTGTGGAGTCTGCTTGGGATTCTCTCTCTCCCTCTCTCTCTCTGCCCTCCCCTGCTTCTGCTCATGCTCGAGAGCTCTCTCTCTCTCTCTCAAATAAATAAACTTTAAAAAAGGTAAGCAAAAACTTATAGCTAATAAGCCAATAATGGGAGAAAAAATAGAATAGTAAAAAACACTGAATTCAAAACAAAGCAGAGGAAGAATAAAAATGAAAGGCACAGAAAAGACAAGTAAAAAGAAAGAGACACACGGGAGAATTAAACCCAACCAGATCATTAACCACATTAAAGAATAAGACCTGGAAACTTTATTTTAAAGTAAAGGCCAGATAATAAATATTTAGGGCTTTGCCAGCCAGGCAGGATCTCACACAATTACTCAGTGCCACCGTCATGCACAAAGGCAGCCTTATGTAGCCTTATGGCTACAAGCATGGCTATGTTCCAAGAAAGTTTATTTACATAGTTGCAAGCCACACTTGGCCCACAAATCATAGTTTGCCTACCCTTGGTCTAAATACTTTAATTAAGAGGCACAGACTATCAGAGTGGGTAAATAAGAACAAGATCCAATTATATGCTATCTACACAAATTTCACTTTGAACATTTTTTTAAATGTTTATTTTTGAGAGAGAACAAGTGGGGGAGGGGCAGAGACGGACAGAGACAGAGAATCTCAAGCAGACTTTGCACTATCAGCAAAAAGCCAACTTGGGGCTCCAACTCACAAATCGTGAGATCATGACCTGAGCCCAAATCAAGAGTTGTATGCTTAACCGACTAGGCCACCCAGGCACCCCAAATATTTCACTTTACAAAGACACAGGTTAAAGGTAAAAAGATGAAAAGACATGTGTCATGCTATAACTAATCAAAAGGAAGCTGGAGGAATCATATTACCATCAAACAAAGTAGATTTCAGGGAGAGAAAAGAATATTAACATGGACAGAAAGTCACTTTATAGCAGGGCCAATTCATCAGCAGAACAAAGCAATCCTAAACATGTATGTACTTTAGAAAGAGAACGTACATGAGACAAAAACTAACTGAATTGAAATGAGAAATAACCAAATCCAAATATATGGTTGGGGACGTCAACAACCCCTCTTCTCTAAAGGAGCGGTATCACAAATCCCCAAAACTCAGGAAGGACACAGCGGCCCGAACACAACGGACCGCCTGACCACACGCCGACGGGCCTCTCAACCCCGGAACAGCACACACACGAAACACTTACCAAGACAGAGCTTGTGCAGAGCCCTAGGTCTCAATACATTTAAAGGAACTAAAATAATTATGAAGTATGTTCTCTAACCAAAGCAAAATTTTACAGAAACATGTAACAAAAGATAATCTAGAAAATTCCCAAATTCTAGAAATTAAACAACACCCTTTTAATTCATGGATCAAAGAAGAAATCATGAACAAAATTAGACAGTACTTTAAAACTGAATCAAAGTGGAAACACAGTAAAGCAAATGTGAAGGATACTTCTAAAGCAATGTTCTTAAGGGAAATTTATGGTGTTAAGTACTAAGAAAATAAAGACCTAAAAAACAAGACCACTACAGCTCCTACATAGAAGAAATTATATGAACAACTTTATGTCAATACTATGACAACATAAGTTGAAATGGATAAATTCCTTAAAAAAGGACTACCAAAGCTCACTCAAATAGAGATGATAACCTGATACCTAGTCAAGAAATGAATTCATAGTTAGAATCCTTACCATAAAGAAGACTCCAACTCCAGATGGCTTTCTTGGGAATTCTACTAAACATTTATGGAAGAAATATTATCAATTCTACACAAAGTTCTTAAGGAGGAAGAAACAATTCCCAACTCATTCCCCAAGTGCATTACCTTGACACCAAAACTAGACAAAGATACTAGAAAAAATTAAAACTACAAACCATATCACTCATGAACACGGATGTAAAAATCCTTAAGAAAAATTTTGCAAATCAATCCAACATATAAAAAGAACCAAGTGACGTGCCTGGGTGGCTCAGGTCACGATCCTGCAGTTCGTGAGTTCAAGCCCCACGTCAGGCTCCCTGCAGACAGTGCAGAACCTGCTTGGGATTCCCTCCCTCTCTCTCTCTCTCTCTCTCTCAAAATAAATAAGTAAACTTAAAATATGGGGCTAACCAGGGGCGCCTGGGTGGCTTAGTCGGTTAAGCGTCCGACTTTCGCTTAGGTCATGATCTCGCAGTTCGTGGGTTCGGGCCCCGCGTCGGGCTCTGTGCTGACAGTTCAGAGCCTGGAGACTGTTTCAGATTCTGTGTCTCCCTCTCTCTCTGACCCTCCCCTGCTCACACTGTCTCTCTCTCTCTCTCTCCTAGAATAAAACATTAAAAAATATATATATATGGGGCTAACCATCACATTGCATGGTAACGTAATGAACATTCTTATCACTACTGTAAACTTTATTATGAATTTTTTTTAATTCAATACCACCAAATGTTAAAAATACAACTGAAACCCTCACACACTATTAACATGATTGTGGAATCACACAACTACACTGGGTAAAGGTCTGGCCGTTGTATATAAAACTAAACAAATAAGCCCAGAAACAGATGTCCACAAAAATACTTTTACAAGAATATTCATAAGAACCTTATTCATAATAACCAAAAACTAGGAGGAGTCTAGGTGTCGACCGTTAGGAGAAAGGATCAGTGAACTAGCCCATCCATGTAATGGGTACTGCAACCACACAGAAGAATCATTCACAGGAGCACATATAATTTCATTTACATAAAACTGTAGGATACGCAAATCTAACCTATATACAATCCTACCCAGTCTTTATTTTTTTTATTTTTTTTTTAAATTTTTTAATGTTTTATTTATTTCTAGGAGAGAGAGAGAGACAGCATGAGCAGGGGAGGGTCAGACAGAGAGGGAGTCACAGACTGAAACAGGCTCCAGGCTCTGAGCTGGCAGTCAGCACAGAGCCCGACGCGGGGCTCGAACCCATGAACCGCGAGATCATGACCCAAGCGAAAGTCGGACGCTTAACCGACTAAGCCACCCAGGCGCCCCAACCTACCCAGTCTTTAAAAACAAAGAAAACTTTTCAAATCTTATCTCCATAAAGGCTCCCCAGCTAGAAGTGATCTTTCTGCCTGTTTCTCGCTCTTACTGTTAAGTGTGTATCTTGACTCCTGCTCCAAGAACATTCTTAGTCTATTTACTAAAAGATGATACTACACTTCAGGGCCGTTTTTTGAGCATCAAACACATGCCAGCCACAATGCAGGAGGTACCCACGTGTTATCATCTGAAATATCCTGTGTCTATACACATACACTTGTATTCTTAGCTTATCTGTACATTCTTTGCAAACATTACTTAAATACACACACTTAGTGTGATAAAAAGATTTATAAGAAAGTTATAAGAAATGATTTATAAGGTTACTCGGATGATCAAGTATATATTTCTCAGATAAAGTTGGTCTTTGTTCACAGTTCCTGAAAAGGCTTCCAAGCTGTAAAGGTGCAGGGGAGATTTTGTTATTAACGAAGTTGACTTGTAGAACCCCCCCAAAAGGTGCAGCTGGTTCCCAGGACGACCAGCCCAGCTTCTAGGGAGGTGAGAGGGCCTGGAGGTTGGATTAGCCAATGACTTAATCAGTCATGACTATAAAAATTTTATTTCCCTCTTCAGAGAGCTTCCACATGTGGGAAACCAAAACACTTGTGTTATATGAGGGTGGGGGAACCCCCCTACACACCCACATTGTAATTGAGTATGCAAACGTGATTATTGTTTTTAATTTTAGAGAAAGAGAAAAAATGGAGGAGGGACAGAGGAGAGAGGGGGAGGAGGGAGAGAGAGGGAGAAAGGAAGGGAAGAGGAGGGGAGGGAAGAGGAGGGGAGGGAAGAGGAGGGGAGGGAAGAGGAGGGAGGGAAGAGGAGGGGAGGGTAGAGGAGGGAAGGGAAGAGGAGGGGAGAGACAGAGAACCTTAAACAGGCTCCATGCTCAGTGCAGAGCCTGATGCAGGGCTCAATCCCACTACCTGGGATCATGACCTGAACTAAAATTAACAGTCGGACACTCAACCAATGACCACCCAGGCACCCTGGAATTGGGTCTAGGAACTTTAAAAGACTTATCTGTTAACAATGGACTATGTCTACTATCGGCCTTCTAATCTCGTCTCCAGATAATTACCTTGCTTTCTTCCTCATGCATAAAATATGACTTATAAACAGAGATGCAAAGAACTCTTGAAAATTCTCTCACTTTAAGACTGTTACTGAGCAGTAGTATCTACCAAAGGCTTCGACTTCAGTATCCCCCCCATCCTTGTATTTCCAAATGGATTTTCCATCACAGTCTGTTATTAAAAGTACTGCTATACTTGGGAGTTTTACTTTCATTCATTCATTCAAAAAATATCTGTTAAAAAAATATATACGTGTGTGCATGTGAGCGCCAGATCACAATTCTGGTCACAGTTACCACAGTGGATAAATGAAACAAGGAGGTTCTTGTCTTCTTACATTCAAGCAGGGGAGACAGATAATAAATAACATCAGGTACCATGAGATTTGAGCAAAGCAGAGCAGGTAACACAACAGAGAATAGAGGAGAAGGCAGCATTTGAGAAGTAATGAGATACTCTGAGATAGTAATGTTTGAATGGAGAATTATCTGGGATCCTTCAGAAATTAGTATTTGTCTACTTGAGAGCAACAATCAATTGCAGCCATAATGAGGACCCTGGTAATTTACTAGTCTTTCAGTATTAGACCAACTTTTAATAAATAAACCAATCTGGCTGAAAGTCTGAGATTTGAACATTAAGAAACTGAACATCTCCCAGGTCAATACTGTGAATCGAACTGTTCACAAATTTAAAAAAATCCAAAGTAGGGGCGCCTGGGTGGCTTAGTCGGTTAAGCGTCCGGCTTTCGCTTAGGTCATGATCTCACGGTTCGTGGGTTCGAGCCCCGCGTCGGGCTCTGTGCTGACTGCCAGCTCAGAGCCTGGAGCCTGTTTCAGTCTGTGACTCCCTCTCTCTCTGACCCTCCCCTGCTCACGCTGTCTCTCTCTCTCTCTCTCTCCTAGAAATAAATAAAACATTTAAAAAAAAAAAATCCAAAGTAGACACGGTCTTGTTTTGTTAGTTATGAATAAAACATGCATACAATTACCAATGGCTTTACAAATACACACCAAACCTTATTTAACAGTATTTATTTCTTTAGTATATATGTCAGCCATATATTCTCAAGTTGTAAGAAAGGAAAAATTATACAAGAACATAACTTATCAGCGTATGTGACTGTGATTTTAATTTTTAAACTTTTGTTAAGACTGCATATATTAAATTCACAAATCAGAAAAACTCTATCATATCATGTACGAATCCCCATTTGGTAATTACTCCAACAATAGTGGGAAATTAAGTTAGGAAGGGTGTTCTTTTGCTAAAATAATAATTCAATACTTTCCCTTCAAGATCAAAAACAAATATATTTGATAATTAATGACAATAAAAAGGCCCACCTAAAAGTGACTTTAAAAACTTGAGCAGCTTAAAGTAGCTCACTTTATGTCAGAAAGACATAAATAGGAACTAATGATGTGCTCATGCAGTCATTTGAATTACTAGCAATTTCCATCTTGAAGACTCTTATCCATTCCTCAAAAACTCCCAGTTCAAATCTCCCTCCAGAAGCCACCCTCTAACACCACTGTCTTTTCTGCATCTGCCTTCGGTGCTCTTACCTTCAGCAACTCCTTGCAGCTGTCGAGCCCAATATCCACAAGAATGCCTTTCACCTTCTTTCGTACCTTCCTGATGTTGTCAAGATTTTCCACAGGAATTTGAAACATTTTTGAATTTTTCCTTAAAAAGAAAGAAAACAAAACTGAGTACCTGTATCTACATCTACATTCTTAACAGAGTTGGTAAAACGCTAAGAACAGAGTAATTTTCAATAAATTATGCTAGGACACCTACATATCCACATCCCAAAAAATGAAGCTGGACCCTTTCTTTCCACCAGACACAAAAATCAACTCAAAATGGATCATACACCTTCATGTTAAGAGCTTAAACTTTAAATCTCAAAAGAAAACAGGCATAAGTCTTCATGACTTTGGATTTGGCAATGGATCCTTAGGTACGACACCAAAAACCACTAACTAGAAAAAGTTGGACTTCATCAAAATAAAACACTTTTACACCTCAAAGGAAATCATCAAAAAAGTAAAAAGAGAATTCACAAAAATAGGAGGGAACATTTGCAAATCATATTTCTGAGAAGGAACTTATATCCAGAATATATAAAGAAAAAAACTCATAAAAACTAAAAGACAAATAACCCAACTTAAAAATGGACAAAATATCTGAATATTTCTCCAAAGATAATATGCAAATAGCCATTAAGCACATGAGAAGATGCTAAATAACATTAGCTGTGGGAAATGAAACTCAAAACCACAATGAAATATGTAACTTTACACCTACTAAAATGGCTAGAATTTCTTAAAAATGAAAAACTCGGTGTTGGAAAGGATGTGGAGCACCGGATCTCCCATACCATACCTCCCATAATCATGTAAAATGGTGTAGCCAATTGGGAAAACAGTCTGGCATCTCCTCAAAAGATTAAATATATAGGTATCGTATGAACCATCAATTCCACCCAAGAGAAATTAAAAACATGCATCCAAACAAAAACCTGTTCACAGATGTTCACGGGGGGCAGCATTTATAACAGCCCAAAGTAGAAACAACCCACATGTCCATCAACTGATGAACGGACAAATAAAACGTGGTATGTCCATACAATGAAATATTTGGCCATAAAATGAAATAAAATACTGACACGTGCTATGATGTGGATTATCCCTGAGGAACATTACGCTAAGTAAAAGAAGCCAGACATGGAGGACCACATGTTACATGATTCTGTTCTTATCAAGTGTCCAGAACAAATTTATAGAGACAGAAAGTAGAATGCTGGTTGCCTAGGGCCGCGGAGGACTATCAGGCGATGGCTGCAGAACAAGGACAATGTTCTCAAAATCCAACATGGTGATGTCTGCACAACTCTGTGAATATACTGGACGCCAGTGAATTATTCACTTTAAACAGGTGAATTGTATGGTATATAAATTACATTTCTATAAAGCTATTGTTTTAATGTTTATTTTTTTATTTTTGAGAGAGAGAACAAGAGGGGCGGAGGAGGGGTGGGGGCAGATAGAGGATCTGAAGCAGGCCCTTGCTAACAGCAAGAGCCCAACACAGGGCTTGAACTCACAAGTTGGACGCTTAACCAACTGAGCCACACAGGCGCCCCTCCATAAAGCTAATTTTTAAAGTATCTGAAAAGGCATAAAATTAAACTAAACCCTGTGGTACTTGACCAGAAAAGGAAGTACAGGTGTGACCTTAGTGTTTTTAATATATACATAAAGAAAAACTAAGTATAGTTGTAAATGTGTGTGTATATATTCCATAGCTTTGTCACTAAGAGAGCCTAGAAGCAGTTACACACTCCAGGAGCAGTGAGCACTCCTAAGACCCAACTCTTACTTTCTAAATAGAACTTTCCATTAAAAAGAACCAGGACTCCTTAGAGAAATGGCTGATTCCAGGGCTGGAGCATGGAAAAGATAAGATGAGCCATGATTGTTCTGTACCAGAACAGTACCAGAAAATAAGGAAGTTGCTCAAAGAATGATGAGACATGTCAAAAGACTCAAAAGAAGTTCAGCTTAAACAAGTCCCCACAACCCAACTAGGGGACAATTTGGGCACCCAATAAATGACACTAACAGATTACAACCTGTGCCACTGAACTTTCCAAAGACAATGCAACACCATCTCCCATCACACATGCTGTTTGAAAACATGATCCTGACGGTCCTCCTCGTTAGTGGGGCATAGATGCCTTTGAACCTTTCTGTGGCTGCCTCACCCAATGAAGTACGGCAGGAGTGATGCCATGCGACTTCCAAGACTAGAGCATCAAAATGCCACACACTCCCGCCTGCTCTCTAGGAACCATCACTCTTGACATCTAGACACCACATCGTGAGGAAGCTCAACTAGCCCACGTGGAGAGACTACACGGAAATGCTCCAACATCAGCCACCAGACATGTGAGTGAAGACAGAGTTCCAGACACCTGGCTATCAAGTCACCCCGGCCTTAGAGTCTTCCCAGATAAAGAATCAAACAAGCCGTCTCCCCTGCTCCTGCCTGAACTCTGGATTCAAATTGTTGAGTTTTAATAAAATGTTTCATCCTATGAAGTTTTGAGGTGATTTGGTATACAGCAACAGTGACTAAAATAATCCACCAGAACATAAATTTAAGTCCATGGTGATATAAATAAATACACTGAAACTCTGATCAGGAATGGTATTCTTTTTTTTTTTTTTTTAATAAATTTTTTAATGTTTTATTTATTTCTGAGGTAGAGACAGCATGAGCAGGGGAGGGTCAGAGAGAGAGGGAGATACAGAATCTGAAACAGGCTCCAGGCTCTGAGATGGCTGTCAGCACAGAGCCCAATGCGGGGCTCGAACCCACAAACCACAAGATCATGACCTGAGCGGAAGTCAGACGCTCAACTGACTGAGTCACTCAGGCACCACCCAGGAATGGGATATGTCCATGATTTCCAAGCAGCTTCCTCAACATTACTTGATAATAACCAAGAGTAATTCACAGAAGTCTGGTAGACTTCTTAGCCTGAATTAAGAGATACTGTACAAAATAGCCTGCAGTTATCAAAAGTGTCCAGACCACACAAGGTAGCACTACTCATAACAGCCAAACTGCGGAAACAATTTAAATGTCCACAAAACGGTAAATGGATAAACAAAATGTAACCTACTTGGCATTAAAAACTAAGTACTGATGCATGTCACTATAGGAATAAATCTCAAAAACATGCTAAGTGAAAGAAGCCAGGTACAAAGGTCCTCACGCTGACTCCACTTATGTGGAATATTTAGAAGAGATGACTCTACAGAGATGAAGGTAGACCACAGCTGGCTGGGAGTGGGAGCAGATTACTGGAGTGCCAGAATGTACCATCATCAGGTTGTGGTGAGAGCTGTACAACTCTACATGAATTATACACTTAAAACAAAAATAATGGAAGAAAAACTAAATACCATTTCCCACTGAAATTGTTCGCACTGAAAGGGACTAAAAATAAGTAAATACAGTGGGCAAGTCTAACTTTTACTAGAAATGCTACTGGAGTGCTGGCAAAACTTCCATGGGATCTGAGGGTTCAAGGGTAATAATGTATTTATTTCCTAATGCTGATGGCTGTATTCTGGATATGCCGGAGAATACTTTAATTGCAGGAAACTGCATTTAGCTTACTGTGGCATCTTGTTTGGGAACTTACTTTCAAATATTTCAGGGAAAAAAAGTTCTTTGTATTGTACTTGCAACTTTGTATAAATCTGCAACTATTTAAAAATTTTGGGGGGAGCGCCTAGGTGGTTCAGTCAGTGAAGCATCCAAACTCTTGATTTTGGCTCAGGTCATGATCTCAGTTTATAGAATTAAGCCTCTGCACCATAAGTGCAGACCCTGCTTGGGATTCTCTCTTATTCTGTCTTTCAAAAATAAATATATAGGGGGACCTGTGTGGCTCACTCGGTTAAGCATCCGACTTCACTCAGTCAAGATCCCATGGTTCGTGGGTTCGAGCCCCACGTCGGGCTCTGTGCTGACAGCTAGCTCAGAGCCTGGAGTCTGCTTCGGATTTTGTGCCTCCCTCTCTTTCTGACCCTCCCCTGCTCATGCTATCTCTCTCTCTCAAAAATAAAAAAAGAAACGTTAAAAAAAATAAACTTAAAAAAATTAAAAAAGATTTTTTTAATGTGCAACGTATCAAAGCTAAAAATTGAGTCAAATTCAAGTTAAAGAACACCAGGTAAAATAACAAATGCAAATTTTTTTATTATCAGAATAACTTTTAAAGATCGACAATATCTACTGGTAGTAGAAGTAAGTACACAAATCATAATTTTTACCTGTATAGAGGGCAATTTGGTCATATCTCAAGATTTAAAAAATTTTGTTTAACGACTTAATTAATTAATTTCATTTATCTTTTTTTTTTTTTTTTGAGAGAGAGAGAGAGACAGAGCGCAAGCGGGGGAGGGGCAGAGAGAGGGAGACACAGGATCCAAAGTAGGCTCCAGGCTCTGAGCTGTCAGAGGAGCCTGATGCAGGGCTGGAACCCATGGACAAGGACCTCAGGCGAAGTTGGATGCTCAACCGACAGAGCTGCCCAGGTGTCCCTATATCTAAAGATTTTAAATCACAATTTCTGAGTCCGCAATTCCACTCTTACACCCCTCTTGTAACCCCTCTTCCCCCACCATAAGCCTGGTGCCCCTCCAAGTTTACACTTATTGCATGCACCATGTTGCAATTCTCTATTTATCTATGTCTCCTACTAGACTGAACTTCTTCAGAGTAGGAATCATGTTTTATTCGCATGTCTGGGGCCTATCACAGAGTGTAATATACAGCAAATGTTCACAACAAATGAACAAGAGATTAAATAAAACAGGGTAAGAATCATAAGACATGCAGAAAGTACTCTAAAGGTTCAAAAAGGTTACAGAGGGTTAGAACTGGAGCCCAAGACGGTCTAGGTGAATAGATCAGCATTGTAAAATGATTGAGGTAAAGGGAAAAGTCTGAATATATTTGGCAAAAGATAAGTAAAACCAAAAAGGTAGACTGGAATCAAATGAGCGGGTTTGGTGGGAAGGAAGGGTTAACACGTAAGAGGGAGGAATTCAGGGTGGGCACAAAGGAAACACAAAGTTTTTCAGAAGCTAATTTGGAATGAGTTTTCCAAATTCCATTATCTATGTCAAAAGTGTATCTTAGGCTCCAAAGGAGAGACTGAAGGATCATTTAGTACTTGATAACTGAAGGAAGGATAGTGAATCATAAGAAATACAGTAAAATAATAAAATTATTAAAAATGAAATGCACTGAATTGGGTTCTGGCTTTCAGAAGCCTCACCTCAGAGGAGCTGTCAAGAACCTCATGATGGTGCTCCTAAAAACTAAACACAAGGTCACTGTAGAGCCCACCCTGGCTTCTCTGGCCAGAGCAAGCCTCAGCCAAAATTGTGAGATGCTTTCCACTCAACTATCAGACTCGCTTCCATCTCCCCTAGAGCTCCGTTATCCTCTCTACCTCTGGCTTCTTCCTTCCCCAGAGCTGGCTGTTGATTAGAACTGTCCACGATGAAAGCCATCATCCCCATGTATTTGAAACGAGGACACTAACTTTACTGCTTGCAAAGAAGTATGGCCTTACAGAGTAAGCGGTGGTCTTCTTCGAGGGTTTTGAGAAGCATGGCATACAGGACCCGGTGGCCTTTCAGCAGCACTAGTTTAGGGACTGGCCGATTATCACAGGCTGCTTCCTGGGGGCTGCTGGGGACCCTAGCTCTGAGGAGGAGGATACTGAAATGAGGCCATCAGTGATGGGGCAGGGTTTAAACAGGCCCTGTAGTTAATTGTTCAAGGCTTGGGAGTGAGACCAAGGAACTGTCAGTCTTCTTCCTAGAATCTGGAGAATAAGAACTTTTTATTCTCAAATGTAAGCGTCCCCATTCCCGCACCACTGTTACTGTGGTTCCCCCCAAAACCAGCACATTAAATCCTTCGCCATTAGGAAACAGAAAACTGATGAGGCTGCACTAATCCATCAATCTCCATTCACCGTAAATTACCTTCAATGTCAGCGTGTGGTACACATGGACCTACCAAAACTCCCACTGACGTGCACAAGAAAATACTATTTCCCAAAGAGGCATTTATAGGGTTTCTTTTGTTGCTTTTTTAGTACCTTGATCATTTAAGTACATTCCATTCTGGAAAAAAATAACACTCCAAAAAACAGTCATTCAGGTAATAGATGCTACTTTTTAAGCCAGAGAACTTTAGAGTTCATGTAAATCTAAGTTCCAAAGGGATTTCACACGAGGCAACACTACACAATGGTCTCACCAGCAAGGATTCTGGAATTGGGGGCGCCTGGGGGGCTCAATCAGTTAAGCCTCTGACTCGATTTCAGCTCAGGTCATGATCTCAACATTCATGGGTTTGAGCCCCACGTTGGGCTCTGCGCTCACAGAGCAGAGCCTGCTTGGGATTCTCTCTCTCTCCCCCTCTCTCTTTATCCCTCCCCTGCTTGCTTGTTCTCTCTCTCAAAATAAATAAACATTAAAAAGTGTGTGTGTATATATTCTTTAAAATCTCTGACAAATTACTTAATCTCTGGGCCTCAGGTGACCATGTGTAAAACACAGAGTACAAGCTACTTCTGAAGCATTTGTGAGGATGAGTGAGTTAACACAAGAAAAGCACCAAACATAAGCAATGTGTTTGCTACTGTCCAACTTCAAAAATCTAATGAAATGTACCAACCACTGGAATAATACAGGACTTCTTTTTAAGCAACTTAAATCATATGCAATACTTGTGCCCTACATGAAAGCGAGGTTCAGAAGGTCTGGGTTCCAGCGCAGGCAGATCCCGGCCCAACTCCACAGGCAACACTCTAACCTAACAGATGGGTGACAGCCAGAGGGCGGCATGGCAGGAACACTGGGAACTTACACCCATACCACACCTGGGTGCGTTCACCAAGGGGACACGCCAAGCCTGGTACGCTCAACCAAGGGGACACCCCAAACCTGGTACGCTCAACCAAGGGGACACTCCAAACTTGAGTGCACTCACCAAGGGGACACGCCAAACCTGGTACATTCAACCAAGGGGACACGCCAAACCTGGTACATTCAACCAAGGGGACACGCCAAACCCGGGTACACTCACCATGGGGACACCGCACACCCGGCACAAATCTAAAATATGTCCCAGGATCCCTCCGGGTAAAAGTCTTGCCACAGCTCTGCCGGTCTCCCATGACCAACCGCTAAGCCTACATCCAGCCTTCACGGTCTTGCCGCCTCTCCGACAGACAAGTCAACGGGTTCCCCCCCTCCTGTCCGTCTCCCAGAGCAGCAACCCTTCCCCTTCCACGCGTAAAGACCACCGGCTCTGCAGTCCCAGCTCCAACCGAAGTATCAAAGTTCGATCATAAAACCGCCAACCCTCCAGCCATCGCTCTAAGTCAGTCACACCTACATCACTTACCTCGGACCAAAGAGGAGCCTGCACTTTTCACAACCTTCACTTTTACACGCGGTCCCGCCCCCCCACCCCCGTTGTGTGCAGCCTCCCCCAGACCTGGGTGAACCCCGGCCCACCGGCACCCGCTCGCTCCGCGGCTCCTCGCGGACCCCAGAGGCCGGGGCTGCCGGTTCTATTCCATTATAACCAGCGTTAACCGCATTCTAGCAAGCCTTCCTCTCAAATGCAAAGAAGACACTTAAAATATTCAACTACGATGATGCAACTGCGCACTATCGGAATTGTCAGTTATAATTTCTTGACGTTCCAAGGCCAAATGTTAGGAGAAATCTTGCAGACACAAGCTCTGTCGACGCGGGCAGCGGGGGCACTCGGAAAGTTACAATTTTATTGTCAGCATCTGCATATCCATCACCGCCATTCACGTCCAAAGCTCCGGGGCGAAGGGATTGGCCGTCGCGGTTCGGCGGCTCCTCCAACAGTCTTCCCCGCCGGGGGAAAAGCGCCCCAGGGCGAACCTCGGGGCGGCCGCAGCCGCTTGTACGACGTTAGCTGCCGCTCCCGCCTGCTCAGAGAAGAGGCTCCGGGGCAAGGCTCGGGGACGCGGCGCTGCGGGGAGGCGCGCCCGCGGGGGCCGCCCTCACTACTCCCCAGCCCGCGCGCCCCTCGGCTCCGCTCCGCCCGCTCCGCCCCTCACGCCCCCGACCCCCATAGCCCGCGCCCGCCCCCCGCCGTCCACCCCCGACCCCCACGTGACGCGGAGGGATGACGGGCGCCGTCTGGGCCGCGAACCCCGCGCCCAGAGAACGTCGCGGGATTCGTGAGGCGGCCCCGGGCCGCGGGCTGTGGGCGGGGCGGGGCGGGGCCGCGGCCGCCGTCGGGACTCCGCGGGCTTGGGCCGGGCAGGGCCGGGGGCGTCGCCGCGGGGCTGGGCCGGGGTCGTACCTACCGCTGGGCGCCAGGAGCGCCGCTGCGTCCCCCGCCGCTTCTCGCTGCGCCGCCGCGGCCCGCCGGGGCCCCGCGCCCGCGCCCGCCTCCGCCCCGCGCGGCGGGACCCCCGCCTCGGCGCGCGCCCACCCCCGCGCGACCCCGTCCCCTCCTCCCAGCACGGCCAGAAAGAGAAAATGGCGCTCGATTTGCCTCCGGAAGTGACGCGCGCCCTCATTTGCATGCCAGTACAGCCAGCCAATGAGAGGAGAGTGTGCATGGGACCCCTGGACACTGCCCCATAGGACCCTTGGGGCCCCTGCCTAAGGCTGAACTGGAGGCTCTGGAGTGGGAGTGGGAGTGGGGGGTCCCCTGTTGGAGCCCCTGCCCCTCCCCCCCTTCCTGCCACAGTGGGCTGGCCTGCCAGCCTCTCACTAGCATCTCTGCAAACTCTCGAGAGAGTTTGAGTAGGTGGTGACGTCATTAAAAGGGGGTGGGGCGAGGGTGTCGTCAACCACGTGACCGGTCACGTGTGCTCACCAGAGCCTTGACTTCATTTGCATGGAATGGAGGTGGAGCTAGTGACAGTAGCTGGAATGGGTGGCCCCGCCCACATCTCAGAGCCAATAGGAAACCAGCCGTGAGGACAGTCTTGTCCTGCCATTGGAGAACAGAACTTGGGCTATCAGAACTTCGACAAGTGTGCCCTTGAAATTGACACATCTTGGTGAACTGGCTGGATGGGGTCTCCTGAACTCATCATTCTTTTCTGAGAAAATTGTCACACTTTTTCTTGAGAATTTTGGTTTTTAAGTTAGGGCTATTATATGTCGTGCAGTGAAGAGGTTAATTGCATACATTTGTAAAAACTCTTAATTGCCCTAAAAGTTCACTTTTGCCCAGATTTTAATTGTGAAGCAATAATATTATATTTCTCCAAACGAGTTAATACATGGAGTAGGAGCTTTCAGAATTGCTTTGGGTCTTCATCCATTGAGTCAGACTTGCATGGGGGAAGATAAAGACCACACCCCCTTCGGGGATTTTGCACTTTAGTGACAGGCCAGGTGTGTATGCAAACATCTCCTTTTACCTATCTGGTCCTTGTCCTATTCCTGCTCCTTAATGACCATTCCAGAACTTTCCCACTTCATTGACCCTCTCTGGGCAACACCTGCCCTTCCTCGACTTCATTTGCAACAGAAGACCATGTCTCCTTCCAGAACACCAAGACCATCAGACTTTGTCTCCCTCAGTCTCCCAGCTGCTATGTGCTCACCTATTTCCTAAGCAATTATCCCGACCTTAGAGCTAGTTTCAGAGGCCGCGTCTGCCCCTGTTTACCACCGGTCCATCCCTCCTGGGACCTTGTTTGCCCTGCCCACCACCTCATGTTCAGTCATCCTCTCCCATAATTTCAGCTCCTCCCTCCTTACAGGTACCTTCTGCTCGGTAGAGCCCAGAGACCAAAAACATAGCAGGCACTAAATAATGTCTGAATTAATTTAAAAATTGTGTTAAATTCAGGGCTAAAATTAAATAACCACAGTTTGCTTCTTCACAGGAATTTCCTGCAGGAATACAAGTCATAATTGAAAAAGAGTTTGTTCCTTATATTTATTAATGAATTATGATTTAATATGACAATGAATCACAGTGGTAAATGGGTATGATATTCCTATATATCTTCCTTTGAGAAATCATGAGTATAATGAAAAGTCAAAGCTTTCCAATCCGCCTTGATCCAGATAAATGTGCTCTAAAGACAGCATTTTGTCACATTTCTTCCAACATTGCCTGGGCTCCCTTGACTCAACATCCTTGTATTCTCTCATTGCAACCCTCACCACTGCAGAAATGCCTGGGTCACCAGTGACCTCATAATTGTTAGACCCAAGAACAGAGACGAGTCCTAGCCTTTCATCTTTCATCAGTCTCCCTTCCTAAAGCTCTTCTCTCCCTGACAACGCCCAAACATATGCTTTCATCTTCTCCAAGCTCTCTGACTGTTCCTTACATCTTCATCAGTTTCCCTTCCTCAACTGACCTTAAATGTGGGTCTCCAGGATTATGCCCACTTTCATTCATTTTTCAACACATATTCATTACCCAGGTCCTATGTGCCAGGCACTGTAGTAGTATTGGAAAACCTATCCCTCTCATTTTATTACTGTGCATACTGTCCCTTCTTCATCTCCACTGCAGATTCAAATTACATCATTTCAAATCCGAGTCAATATATCTACCTCTTTCCTAAGCTTCACTTTTATTTCTCTGGCTGCCAATTGGCAGCCCCACTTGGGTCTCTCACAGGCACCTCAGATTTAAAATGTTCCAAACAGCCCATCATCCCTCCCTGTAATTACAGTGAGCACTGTGCTTAACTGTCCTTCATTTTCCCATCTCCAGTTCTCCCATTTTACATCCTAAACATTCCTCAAATCGGTTCTCTCACTGGCAGCCTTGGGATTCAGGTCATCTGACAAACACCAACAAAAGACCTACCTTATCTCCTGCTTTGGGTCCTCAGGAACATTCTCTAGTCAGCTATTCTATGACCTAGCTAAGGCAAACTGGACCCCGTCATCTTCTTCCCGTCTTCAGCCATTCCACAGCCCTCCCGGCATCAAGCTGGCATGGCACACGAGCTCTCCAAGCTTGACCAGTCCCAGCCCTTCTCCTGCTCCGGAAAACACCACGCAGAGTTCGTTCATAGAATTCCTTTACTCCCCCTACTTGAACTAATTTTCATTCCGTTGCTATTCAAAGCTGAGTTCTGCTGGCCTCTCTTCCAGGAAGATCTCCCTAACCACAACCACTAGACACAGAAACAACACAGGACGTAAGAAGCACTTTTCCTTGGTATTCCAGAACATTCTGAGTGTGTCTGTCACTGCACTCACCGGGTTGTTCTGTCAGCATCTGCCTATGTGTCCCTCTCCCCAGGAGTGCTGCACCAACAGGGACCATGTCTTCTTCAGCACTGTATCCTTGGTGCCTAGGCTACTTTAATAAACATAATGTAAACAATATTTTAATAAATATGATAAAATTTCAATAAATGTTGAATAAAAGTTTTCTCCCACTCATTATGAAAAATTTTGAACATATTGAAAAGTTGAAATAATTTTACAGTGAACACTGTCACCGAGATCTTACAATTAACATTTTGCTCTATTTGTTTTATCAGCCATCCAAATATTCATCTCTTGATCCATCCTTTTTTTTTTTTTTTTGCATTCAAAGAAATTGCTGACATCAGTCCAGTCCACTACGTCCCTAAATACTTAAGCATGGATATATAATGAATGATGTTTAAAACTACAACCAAGAGCTTTGATGTGGAAAGACTGTCCCTCTCCTCCACAGAAGGAATGAGCAATCTGACCCAGTGCAACTCATCAAGATCAGTTTCAAAGGCTCAGGAAAGTTCATGGCAGAGAGGTCAGCCAATCGTCCAAACTCGGTAGCTACACCAAAGGAATTATCTGCGAGGCAGGTCATGTCACACGAGTTAGTTCTGCTTCTTCTTAACCAACTTGGTGTCAGAACAAGTACAGGTGCTTTGATTTTAGTTGTTCAGTTGGGTTTAAAAGTGAAGGTGCTGTGCTGAATCTTTCCGAGTCCCTCATCTAGTTCACCCCATAATCAGCATTAGCATTTGTGAGTCCAGCATAAAGAGCGTAATATGGGTGACCACAGAACAGAGGAAAATCTTTTTTATTTTATTTTTTACATTTATTTATTTTTGAGAGGCAGAGAGAGACAGAGCACAAGTGGGGGAGGAGCAGAGGGAGATGGAGACACAGAGTCCAAAGCAGGGTGCAGGCTCCAAGCTGTCAGCACAGAGCCCGATGCGGGCGGGGATCAGGCTCACAAACTGTGAGATCATGACCTGAGCCAAAGTCAGATGCTTAACGAACTGAGCCACCCAGGCACCTGAGGAAAAAAATCTTAAACTAGCCTAACATGTCAGCCCACAGGTACTTTTGTGTGAATTTAAAGGGTCAGGGAAGCCCTTTGGGTTTCTGCTAGCTGCCCTGAGGGCAAGGGCACTAGCTTGGAGAGAGTAGTGCTATTATAAGGGCCTTTATATGTAAAGAAGGAATGGGGGTGGGGGGAAGCATCGTATCCTCTGGGCAGACCCCAACCCACATCAGGATACAGACGGGTGAACAGAGTGGGGTTGATTTCAGCTCCCACCCACCCACCTCAGCTTGTCTCCAAGTAGGGTATGAACACTCTACAGCTATATTTGGCAGCCCTGACTGATTTGTGCACAAAGAATAAACTATACACATGCTCATCTACAATAAAATAAATTGCTAAGGTTAATCTAAAACCATTGAAATTCCTATAGGAAAGAGGAACAGTCATTCTTTATGAACAACTTACATGTAACCATGCCTTTCTTGTCTTTGTTTTACATATACGTTTTGTGTGTCTATTGGGTGCCAAGAAGATAGTGATGAGAAAGAAGCAAAAGCTTAGAATCCAGTGGAGAAGATCACTAGTGAACCAGCTACACAATGAGAGTTTAATTATAAACTGAGGTAAACACTCCTGAAGATTAGCTCTCCACACATCTGTGATGCAGAAACCTGATCTAGAATAGAAATCTTTTTTTTTAATTCAAATTAGTTAATATATAGTGTAAGAATAGTTTTAGGAGTAGAATTCAGTGATTCATCACTTACTTATAACACCCAGTACTCATCCCAACAAGGGCCCTCCTTAATGCCCATCACCCATCTAACCCATCGCCCACACCCCTCCCCCTCCAGCAACGTGCAGTTTGTTCTCTGTATTTAAGGGTCTCTTATGGTTTGCCTCCCTCTCTGTTTCTATCTTATTTTTCCTTCCCTTCCCCTAGGTTCACCTGTTGTATTTCTTAAATTCCACATATGAGTGAAGTCATGTGCTATCTTTGCCTGACTTACTTCATTTAGCATAATACTCTCTAGTTCCATCCACAGTGTTGCAAATGGCAAGGTTTCATTTTTCATCACTGAGTAGTATTCCACTGTAGATTTATTTATTTATTTATTTATTTATTTATATACCACATTTTCT